TGAGGCCCCGGGGGGTCCCAGGCAGCGTACTAGATCCCGCGAGAGTTTTGCCGTTTTGGATGGCAGCTTGCGGCATCCTAGGGCTTTTCCTTAGGGTTCAGGGTTTAGGGTGTAGGACCTACACTATCGCAGACTTTACCCGTCATTTTGGGGGCCCCCCCCCCCACTCAATTTTCTCACCCTGAGCCCTTAAAGCTGTAAACCTTAAACCCTAAACCCTAAATCCTAAACCCTGAACCTCAAACCCTAAATCCTAAACCGTAAATCCTAAACCCTAAGCCCTAAACCGGCAGTGAATCGGGAGTCCTTGGCTGAACTGGTGTGACTACCGGGGCGGAGAGGGATCGGGTGGCAGAGTGATTGGGGCTTGGGGTTTGGGGATTAGGGCTTGAGGTTTAGGCTTTAGGGTTTAGGGTCTAGGGTTTTAGGGTTTCTTTAAGCCCTACTCCCTAAACCCTACTGTGAGCCCTAAACCCTAAGTCCCGAAGCCTAAACCCCAAGCCCTAAACCCTTGAATCCCAAAACTGAGCAAGGGGGGGGGACCTAATGTAGAGGTCGGAACATTTACTAAAAGTATTCCCTCCTGGTCCCTTGCTTCTCATACCATGATTACCCCCTAAAACCCTACTCTAACTATTAAGGCTATTAAGGCCCCTAGAGGTAGAAAGGGAAGCCACGGGATGCCCCCTATGTGTGTGCTGCCAGTGTGACAACGATCTACGGCGAACCAGCCAATGTGTCACTGTCAACAAACCGTTCAGCCGATGCAGCCGGCAAGCAGGGATTCTCGGCGCCCGCCGACTCGGGGCTCGGTTCAGGGTTTAGGGTTTAGGGTTTAGGGTTTAGGGTGTTCCAAAGTGCCGCGGTCCCGACCCGCGCCAGGGGCGGGTCGGGCCACCTCGGTGCAGCGGATCCCACCCCAACCACCCAAACTACCGCCTTTTTCGGGTTTAGAGCGGTCTACCCTCCACAGCCCCCTATCAAGGGGGCTTACACCTCGAGTCTCCCCGCTGGCCGGGGTGGGACGCAGGGAGCGGGACAATCTGTTGTTTCACCCATACTGCGTTTAAGACACCCTCAAGCCCAATTCCGGACCCAAGCTCATTCATATGGCAGAATGGCGAGGGCCAAGCGCGGAAGGCCCGGCCACCCGCTGGCGCAAGGCCTTCTCTGGCCCAGCTTGGTCTTTGTTGACAGGACCTCCTATGCTGGGGTCGCACGTCTTGGGCCCGGCCTCCCCACCGACCGGGGTCGCGCAAGGGCCGGCGAGGGGCAACCCTGGCGGGCGGCGACCATGGCGGGGCGTGGCGGGGGCAACCCTGGCAATAGCAAGGGCAACGCAAGGGCAGCCCTGGTGGGGGCAACCCCGCTGGCGGGGGCAACCCCGGCACGGGCAAGGGCCCTTCCCGCATCTGGGGCCCATATGGCACAAGAAGCCCTGCTCAGCAACAAAACAACACTTCATAGAGAAGGACGACGAAGCCTTGCCAGCGCGCGAGGAGGCCGAGGCCGTCGCAGAGAAGGTGCGCAATTCCTGAGTAGGCGACGTGAGGAGGTGTGGAACCCTGACAGGGCAAGCTGGCGAGGGCAATGTCACCCTGGCGGGGTCAACCCTGGCGGAACCCTGCCAAGGGCAACCCTAACTCGGTGGCAACCCTGGGCAACGCTGGTGGGGACCAGGCCTGGTGGGGGCAACCCTGGCAGGGGTAGAACTGGGCAACCCGGCGTTGCGAAACCCTGGCGGGGGCAACTCTGGCGGGGGCAACCCTGGCGGGGGCAACCCTGGCGGGGTCCTGGGGCAACCCCGACGGGGGCAACCCTGGCGGGGGCAACCCTGGCGGGGGCAACCCTGGCGGGGGGCAACCCTGGCGGGGGCAATGTGAGGTATAAACGTATGTGTATATATACATATATACACATACATACACATATGTCTCAAAGGAGCTGGCGGGGGCCACTAATGGAGAACTTTGGCAGGGCGAGAAGCCTGAATAGGCGAGGCCAATTCCGGCGACCAACCCAAGTAGGCTGGCGGCAACCCCTGTCACATGTATACAGGTCTGGAGTCGCCCTTCATAGACAAAAATGACGAAGCGGCAAGGGCAATTCTGGGGGGCAACCTGAGGGGGCCTAGTCGGCTGGCGGGGGCAAGCCTGGCGGGGGCAATCCTGGTGGGGGCAATCCTGGCAGGGGCAACCCTGGCAGGGGCAACCCTGGCGGGGGCAACCCTGGCGGGAGCAACCCTGGTGGGGGCAACCCTGACAAGGAGCAACCCTGGTGGGGGCAACCCGGCGGGGGCAACATTGGCTCCCTGCAACCTGGCGGGCAACCCTGGCGGGCTGGCGGTGGCGGGGGCAACCCTGGCGGGGGCAACCCTGGTGGGGCAACCCTGGCGGGGGCAACCCTGGTAGGGGCAACTGCGGCAACCCAATGGGGCAACCCTGGCGGGCAACCCTGGCAACCCGGTGGGGGCAACCCTGCCAGGGCAACCCTGGCGGGGGGGCAACCGGCGAGGTGGGGGGAACCCTCCTGGCGGGGCCAACCTGGCGGGGTGGCGGGGACAACCCTAACCGGGCAACCCTGGCGGGGGCAACCCTGGCGGGCGCAACCGTGGCCGGGGCAACCCTGGCGGGGGCAACCCTGGGGGCAACCCTGGCAGGAGCAACCCTGGTGGGGGCAACCCGACAGAGCAACCCTGCTGAAGGCAACCCGGCGGGGGCAACATTGGCTCCCTGAAAAAGCAACCCTGCCGGGGCCCAACCCCGGCGGGGGCAAATTTGGTGGGGCAACCCTGGCGGGGGCAACCGCAACCCTGGCGAAACCAACCCTTTGTGGTGGGGGGCAACTTCGGTGGGGGCAACCGCGGCAACCCTGGTGGGGGGGCAACCCTGGCAGGGGCAACTGAGCGGGGGCAACATTGGCTCCCTCAACCCTGGTGGGGGCAACCTGGTGGGGGCAGGGCAGGTGGGGGCAACATTGGTTTCTGAAAAAAACACCCCTGGTGGGGGCAACCCTGGTGGGGCCAGGGCAACCCTGGCGGGGGCAACCCTGGCGAGGCAACCCTGGCGGGGGCAACCCTGGTGGGGGCAACCCTGGCGGGGGCAACTCTGGCGGGGGCAACCCTGGCGGGGGCAACCCTGGCGGGGGCAACCCTGGGGCAACCCTGACGGGGGCAACCCTGGCGGGGGCAATGTGAGGTATAAACGTATGTGTATATATACATATATACACATACATACACATATGTCTCAAAGGAGCTGGCGGGGGCCACTAATGGAGAACTTTGGCAGGGCGAGAAGCCTGAATAGGCGAGGCCAATTCCGGCGACCAACCCAAGTAGGCTGGCGGCAACCCTGTCACATGTATGTCTGGAGTCGCCCTTCATAGACAAAAATGACTAAGCGGCAAGGGCAATTCTGGGGGGCAACCTGAGGGGGCCTAGTCGGCTGGCGGGGGCAAGCCTGGCGGGGGCAATCCTGGTGGGGGCAATCCTGGCAGGGGCAACCCTGGCGGGGCAACCCTGGCGGGGGCAACCCTGGCGGGAGCAACCCTGGTGGGGGCAACCCTGACAAGGAGCAACCCTGGTGGGGGCAACCCGGCGGGGGCAACATTGGCTCCCTGCAGGGGGCAACCCTGGCGGGCAACCCTGGCGGGCTGGCGGTGGCGGCCCTGGCGGGGGCAACCCTGGTGGGGCAACCCTGGTGGGGGCAACCCTGACGGGGGCAACCCTGGCGGGGGCAACCCTGGCAGGGGCAACCCTGGCGGGGGCAACCCTGGCGGGGGCAATGTGAGGTATAAACGTATGTGTATATATATATATATATATATACATATATATACATACATGTCTGGAGTCTCAAAGGAGCTGGCGGGGGCCACTAATGGAGAACTTTGGCAGGGCGAGAAGCCTGAATAGGCGAGGCCAATTCCGGCGACCAACCCAAGTAGGCTGGCGGCAACCCTGTCACATGTATATATGTCTGGAGTCGCCCTTCATAGACAAAAATGACTAAGCGGCAAGGGCAATTGGGGGGAATGTGAGGGGGCCTAGTAGGCTGGCGGGGGCAACCCTGGCGGGGGCAACCCTGGCGGGGGCAACCCTGGCAGGGGCAACCCTGGCGGGGGCAACCCTGTGGCGGGGCAAGCCTGGCGCAGGGGCAACTTTGGTGGGGCAAACCCTGGTGGGGTCAACCCTGGGGCAACTTTGGTGGGGGCAAACCTGGTGGGGGCAACCCTGGTGGGGGCAACCCTGGGGCAACCCTGGTGGGGGCAACCCTGGCGGGGGCAACCCCAACCCTGGTGGGGGCAACCCTGGCGGGGGCAACCCTGCGAAGGCAACCCTGCCAGGGGCCAACCCTGGCAGGGGCAACCCTGGCGGGGGCAACCCTGGCGGGGGCAACCTGGCGGGGGCGCAACAGCTTCTTCGGCCCGACCTCCCCCGCCGGGGTCGCGCGTCGGGGGTTAAGGGTTAATCCATTATTACATTGTGCCCTATGGCTAGCAGGGATGCATCAGGTGTGGCAAGCTCGATCTGCTTGGCAAAGCAAGCAGATCTCGAAGCGGTAGCGTTCAGTTGTACCGGCCGCCGCCTGGCGCGGGCGGCCTATGGTTTAGGGGTATAGGGTTTGGCCCGAAAATCCTAAACCGCGAAAGCCCCGGCAGCCCTAAACCCCTGAATCTTGGTGTTTCAGGTGCTTAGGGACTGTAAACCCTAAGCCCGATAGCCCTAAGCCCTAGCCTAGACCACTGAGCTGTGCAGTTGGGGCGTTGTCATCGCAAGAAATGATTACTTGTATGAGCAAGCACGCACTCACGCACATGTTTGCTGCACAAAGCGCTTGGCCCGAGGCTCAGTGGCACGTGCAGAGGCAGCGAAGTGCAATGATGTCAGCAGGTTGTGTGACCTTAGGGTTCAGGGTTTAGGGTTTAGGGCTCAGGTCCTTGCGGAATCCATCCTTCTTCTAGTAAGATAGCACCTACAGTAAGAGTGCTTCGCCGCCATGTCATCCAGTGGTGCCACTGGCGGAATTCTTAAAGTGGCCTTGCTGAGCGGCAGGCAAACGGAGGTTCCTTTCGCTGCCTCGGACACACTGCGCTCTCTTGGCCCAGCGATCCTCAGCCAGCTCGAGTTGGAGCCGATGGTGGTGTTTCATCCGACCCCACTTCGTTATCTCAGAGGCACAGAACAACTGCAGCCCGACCAGCTAGTTACAGCCCTGGACCTGCACCCCGGTGAAGTGCTCACCGTTATCGCGAGTACCAATAAGAAGGAGATCTATGCCATGACCTTCAAAATCTGTTTCAAGTTCACGGACGACGTCGTCCTCCGCGCTCGCCTGGCGCTGTCGGAGGCTTACTCCTTCAGCCTCGAGATGCTGGGTAGGGTGGATGGCAATGAGGTCGACTGCGAGATCCACGGCACATGGTCGGTAGAGCTGAAAGACCAAGACCCTCAACGAGAAGCCGTGGTCTTACGACCCTTCGGTGCCCAACTCGGCATGCCTTTCTACTTCGCGCATAACATCGCAAGCGCTGCGAGCTCCCTACCACGCCGTTTCGGCGGGGGCATGCGAAAGCCCGTGGGACTTCCCATATCGTGGTTTCAACATCCGGGTCCCTTACACTGGAAAGCAGGTCCGAAGGACAATGGTGACGCCGTTGTGCGTTTGCTGGATCCGGATGCCCCCATGCGCACGCTGAGGCAGGTAGTCGAGGAGGAGAGGAGCCAAAGCGTGGAGAGGTTGGGTGCTGCCATGGCGCGGTTGCGTGCTGCCCGCACTCACTAGTTGGATCGCTTTCGTGGTTCGATAAGAATTCTTCTACAGATACATACAGCTAGAGGGTGAGGGGAGTGCCCAAAGTTTAGGCTAGGGTTCTTACTCCTCGCATTTCCGAAGCTGTGCTTCGTGGCCACAATGGCAACAGGGACAGTGCCGGGGAAAGCCATGAACCCTAAACCCTATAAACCCTAAACCCTATACCCTAAACCCTAAACCCTAAACCCTAACTCCAGAGGGTATCCCCGCGTTTCACGCTTCGACTAGGACCCCGAGTCGGCCTTGTGGCCCCTTTTATACCAATAAGGTTCTAGGGTTTAGGGTTTAGGGTTTAGGGTTTAGGGTTTAGGGTTTAGGTTTAGGGTTTAGGGGTTACTCCTGGTTCCAGTCGAATGAAGAGCATGGGCGTCAAGCTCGCAAACGCAAACTTGGCCTTGCCTCGATCACGACAGACAGACCCGTCGAAGGCAGCCAAAAAACCGCCTTCGGGACCTTATTGAGAGGGTCTATTTCCCCAAGGGTCCCCCTAATCTTATCCCCTAATATAGGGGTCGGAATAATTACTAAGTGTTCCCTGGTCCCTTTGTAATATTTTACTATAGTAACCCACCAGAACTCTATTCTAAGTATTCAATCCCCAAACTAGAAGGGTAAGTTGGTGGACGGTGGCTAGGGCTTGAAAGTTTTGGGGTTTGTAGGGCTTTCTGGGTTTTAGCGTTTTGGTGTTTGGGGTTTTAGGGTATTGGGTCTAGGGCTTTTAGAGCACGTGGATGACAAGCATCAACCAGGCGTGTGAATAAACCGCAAACCGTACGTCCGAAACCAAAATCTAAACCCTGAGCCCCAATCGCTCCATTTGCCTACTGTGACTTCGGAACTTTAATGCCTGATCCTGAGGCATCTGCGCAGTAGACGCTCCACGATCCTAGCTATATAGATACATACATACATACATACATACATACATACATACATACATTTTTATACATATATACACATATTCATACATATATATATATATATACATGTCTTATACACACATATTTATATGTAAAATCTATATATATATATATGCATATGTAATATGGGTATTTCTCAAAATAGGTCTACCCCCCCCCCCCAAAAAAAAAAAAAAAAAAAATCCGATACCCCTTTTTACAGGAATCTCCAAAAAGGGGTTCTGGGCCCTCAGCCCTAAACCCTAAACCCTGTTGTCTGTTGTCGGATCCCCTTTCCCGTTGGGAGCGTATGCCAGCCCAGGAGAAGAAGGTTGAAGAGGCACCGTGGTTGGGTTTTAGGGTTTAGGGTGAAGGGTTGAGAGTTAAGGGTCGAGGGTCCGGGGTCGGGGGTCTGGGGTCTGGGGTTTGGGGTTTAGGGTTTGGGGTCTGGGGTTTGTTTGGGGTGCACATTCGTTGCGATTGCACGCATTCAGGGCTGAAGTGGCAGATTCTTAACTAGGTTACCCTAAACCCAAAACCTTAAGGCAGTGTGCGAGGTCAAGGGTTTCGGGTTGGGGCTTGGGTTTTTGTTGGCGATGTATGCTAGCTCCAGGAAAGATGACATTCCTGAATATGGGGTTTTGGGGGTTATTATAGTACTATAAGGGAATACTAATAGTGATTTTTCCGAGCCCTACTTTATCTTGTTCAGGAGCGAAATTCATTCAGACGCTTTCGGGGCCAACCTAGTTAACAGCCACAGCCACAGCCTCGTCTTGTCTTGCAGGTTGATGCTGTCTATTTCGCTTGTTCATGTGGGGTTCCGGGTTTAGGGCTTAGGGTTTAGGGTTTAGGGTTCTAGTTTCTAGGTCCTAGGTAGCCAACTTATGATAACTTAACGCATGCTTGCAACCTGGCCACCACCAGCCCTAAAGCCCGAGTCGCTTTTTTTTACCCCTATTTTCCCTGAACGCCCTAAGGCCCCAAAGCCCCGTAAATCTAACTCGGGCCCTATACACCACACACCCTAAACCCAAATTCGCCCTAAACCACAAATTATAGCAGACTGCGTGTCATCTCTCCAACGATATGCGATTGCTTAGCTGGGTGCGGGTAGCTTGTTCCGCACCAGGCCATGTCCCGACGCCATCTGAAACAGGCCTTGCCGTAGCCCAGACCAGTTGCTCACTCGGACGAACATCAGTCGCTCACCTCTCAGATATTGGTGTACCGCGGTGAAGACCCTCAAATGTAATCTCCTCCCCCTAATATTAAACACCCCCCTACCCCCTAATAATAAAACCCCCAATATACCATAATATAACTATAATGGGGGTTTTAATATTGAGGGGTAGGGGGGGTTTAATATTAGGGGGAAGGGATTACATGTCAGAACCATCTCGACACCGACGTCCACCGCGACAGGCCACAGAAGAGAGCTTGCCTAGCGAGCGGGTCTAATTAGCGAGGTCATGGCACACACCTTTGTTGCGGAAAGGTCAAGCCAAAGCCCGAACGCCCGAAATCCCCAAACCCCAAAACCCCTAAAACCAAAAAGCCTATATCCCTAAGACCCTAAACCCCAAAACCCCAAAAGCCTCAACCCCACAAAAACCTTAAACCCTAAAACCCCTAAACCCTAGACCGCTGCCAAACCCTAAGCCCCACAAACACCCACTAAAGCCAACAATGCTACATAAACCCTAAACCCCCTAAACCCTAACCCCAAAAACTCTGAACCCCCCAACAACCCTCAACCACCCAAAAGCCCGGAATCCCAAACCCTAAAACCCCCCAGCCCTAAACCCCCCAAAAGCCCCAAAGCCCTAAACCCCCTAAACCCTAAAGCCTAAGCCTCCTAAACCCCAAACCCCCTAAACCCCAAAGCCCCCCAAAAACCCTAAACCCAAACCCCCAAAAGCCATAAACCCCCAACACCCAACACCCTAAAACCAACTCCTAAACCTTAAACCCAAGCACCCAGGCCCAAAAAACCCTAAACTAAACCCCACCATAAACCCTAAACCCTATACTCTAAACCCTAGCCCTAAACCTTGAACCCTAAACCCTAGCCCTGAACCCTATACCCTAAACCCTAGCCCTAAACCCTAAACCCTAAACCCTAGCCCGAAACCCTAAACCCTAAACCCTAGCCCTAAACCCTAAACCCTAAAACCCCCAAAAAGCCAGTCAGAGGCAGCGCAGGAGGCCAGCGAAGCCTTGGCCAAAGCGGCCACTGAGGTGGAGGCCTCCTGGGTGGATCCACTTGAAGGGGGGGGGGGGAGGGGGTTTGGGAGTTTAGGGTTTAGGGCTAGGGTTTAGGGTTTAGGGTTTAGGGTTTAGGGTTTAGGGTTTAGGGTTTAGGGTTTAGGGTTTAGGGTTCAGGTTTCAGGGTTCAGGGTTTAGGTTTAGGGTTTAGGGTTTAGGGTTTGGGGTTTGGGGTTTGGGGTTTAGGGTTCAGGGTTCAGGGTTCAGGGTTTAGGGGTCTAGGGATTTGGGGTCCAGGGTTTTGGGTTTTCGAGTTTAGGGTTTAGGGTTGCTCTAAGGCCCTGCGGGTGTTTTTGTCTTTTCCCAGGCTTCGGGTAGCTTTCTAAAGGGTTTTCAGAAGGCCTCCAGGCTTGCCGGCTCTAAGCCCAGAAGGGTGGGTTTAGGGTTTAAGGTTTAGGGTTTAGGGTGTAGGGTTTAGGGTTTAGGGTTTAGGGTTTGGGGTGTAGGGTGTAGGGTAGGGTGTAGGGTGTAGGGTGTAGGGTGTAGGGTTCAGCGTTCAGGGTTCAGGGTTCAGGGTTTAGGGTTTAGGGCTCAGGGTTGTGTTAGTCCGTGGTGTGGAGCATTTGTTCTCCATACGCGCCGCGCCAGGAACAGGTCGCAGCAGTTGCCCACCAGGTGGAGGACCTCCCTTGGTTTTCCCTTCAGGGCCTTAAGGTTTGAGTCGGTTGTGTAGAGGGTTTAGGGTTGATGGTTTAGGGTTCAGATCTCAAGCCCTCGAACAACTCAAAACCCTAAAACCATCACTCAGAAGTATACACCTAAACCCTAAACCCTCAAGTCCCCCAAACCCTACAAGCTAAACTCTGAACCCTAAACCCTAAACCCTAAACTGAAACCCCCGAACTCGAAAGTCCCTCAACGAAGTCTGTCAGGAGCGCCCATAATGTTGTTGTCCGCTTGTAGAATTAAGGAAGAAAAAGAACCTGCTAAAAGCATGTAGCAGAAAAAGTGAAAGCAAAAACGACAAGTACAAAGTCTTCGCGAAGATGTTGTAGTTTAGTGCTAGTGTTCGTTTGATCATGTAGAGTTCATGCATTCTCTAATCTTTTTGGGCTACTGATGATTGCAAATGCGCGTGTCTAATGAGAACTGTGTGTACACACGGGCTTTGTATGATTGAGAAAGATGAAACCACTAGTTGAATTTCAGATGAAAACTGCGGCCGGCCTGAACCCCAAACCTTGAACCCTGACCCCCAAACCCTAAACCCTGAACCCTGAACCCTAAACCCTAAACCCTAAACCCAAATCATGCCAAAGCCCAAGAAGAGCCCGAAGCCCAGACGAAAGGACCGCGTGCTGGCGGCCGAGCAGGCCATGGAGCAGGCTCCCGGAGGGTGATGGCGCAGTTTAGGGTTTAGGGGGTTTGTAGGGTTTGGGGTTTAGGGGTTTAGGGGTTTGGGGTTTAGGGTTTAGGGTTTCGGGTTTAGGGTTTATAAGTTTAGAGTTTAGGCTTTAGGGTCTCAGGTTGAGGGGTTTAAGGGGTTTAAGGGGTTCAGGGTTGCAGGGGGTTTTAGGGGTTTAAGGGGTTTGAGGGATTTTAGGGGCTTTAGGGGTTTTAGGGGATTTAGGGGTTTTTAGGGGCTTTAGGCGCTTCAGAGTTTCAGGGTTTCAAGAATGGCGAGTGCCCGGAAGCCAGGTAATTTGAGGTTTCAGCGAGAATTCAGATATGTTGACTGGCAGATGTTGGCCGTAAACCCTGCACCCTGAACCCTCAACTGCAAACCGTAACCGTATACCCTTAACCCTTAACCCTTAGCCCTAAACCCTAAACCCTACACCCTAAACCCTAAACCCCCCCTTC